CTTTTCAAACTGAATTGACTGCACTGCGGGTGCAATGGATTTATTTCAAGCAGTTGTGGCCAGTCTTTCACTAGGGAGTTCTGGATAAGAATCACTGGACTCGAAATTTAGATCAGTTTCTGTCTCCTCAGATGCTGCCGCACCTGCTGAGTTTCTCCAGTATTTTCTGTGCTTGTTTTGGATTTCCAGCATCTGCAGTGTTTTACTTTTATTTGAGTGAAATGAGGAAATTTTTTTTAAAAAAAGATTTCAATAAAAGCTTGAAGGATGATTTTACTCTCCCATTCTTGTCAAGGTATTGACTTGTATTGGGGTCAGACAAATAGTTCGCTTGGACCCAAATTTTTAAGGAATTTATTCATCAGGGATATAGCATAACTGGCTAGGCCAGCAACTATATCCCACCCCTAGATGTCCAGAGGCAGTTAATAGTCAAGCACATTGGTGTGGGTCCAGGGAAGGTCAGACAGGATAAGGGTGGCAGATTTATTTCCATGAAGGACATTCGTGAACCCAGATGAGTTTTTACAACAATCAACATTAAACTAGATTTATTTTTTAATTCCAGATTTTTTGATTGAATTCAAATTTTACCATCTGCCATGGTGGGTTTTGAACTCGTGTCCCCAGTGCATTGGCTTGTTTTTCTGGATTATTAGTCCAATGACATCACTAATATGCCACCATCTCCTCCACTTACTTAGGAGTTTACCTGGTGACCGTTGAAAAGATATTTCTTTACAGAACCATGGAAACAGGGTGCAGTCATTTTCATACCTGCTATCCACACCGAGGACAAATATCCCACTGAATGTTACTGGGTAACTTTTCAGGGTTGCTGAACCTTGTACTATCAAGGCTTAGCGCAGTGGCCACACCTACAATCTCCCTGTTCTGTATGATTCAGTACCCCATTCTCACATTTGACCAAAATTCCTGCACCATTAGCAACTCACAGAGGATCTTTTGGCAGTACCTGTCCTCTATCAGCAGGAGGACAAGGGGATGGGGAACACCGCCACCACCACCTGCAAGATCCCCTCCAAGCCACACATCACCCTGACTTGGAAATTCATCACCGTTCCTTCACTGTCGCTGGGACAAATGCACTGTGGTGTACCTGTCCACACTGACTGCAGCAGTTCAAGAAAGTGACTCAGTTTCTTGAGGGCAGTTAGGGACGAGAAATGTGTGTTGGCCCTGCCAGTGGCACGTGGGTCCTATGACTGATTTTGAAAATACGTGGAAAACCCAAAGTGGAAGCTCCCACCAGAGTGGGGAAGTATTGGGTAGGAGAATTGGGTAGTGAATATGAGGGACTCATTGTTACGCTGAAAAAACTGAGCCTGTTAGTTTGTACCTGAGTTGCACTAGCACCCAGGGATGCAGAGGGAGAGAAAAAGACTGCTTTACTCCACTGTACCTTTTGTAATTTTGTTCAGAAATAATATATGGCAAACCAGGGCAGTAATCAACACAGGCGACTGAATTTTGAATTTATTAACTGGAAGAGTACTATGCAAATCAGAGGGATCAATGATCAAACTGTGCCCAATGGTCTGGTTAGAATTCACCTCAGGCAGTGCTAATCGCTGAGAAGTTCAAGTGCTAAGAAGAGCTAGAAGTTGTTGAGGCCCCAGCTGTGAAGAGAGATTAGGAAAATGTTTTTGTTTCTGGTTAATTTGAAAGGATAACTGTGAAAGAGTAAAGACGTATAAATGAAATGCAGAAGGTAATTCTGTAAAACTACTACAAATTAAACTGTGAAGCTAGGACCAGGAGTTACAAGTACAAACCAGTTAAAGACAGAGGAATGGAAGCAGGATCTCTGGAATGATTGAGGAGCCAATTGATGGGCCATTCCGAAGGGGTGAGCAGAGACAGAGATGGATTTTCCTCCCGCATCTTGTCTAGTCCTCAATGCTGAATTTCTCAAAGGTGTGGATGTGAGTTTAAATTAGTTATGCAGCCTTTGTTTAATTTTGTGGGGTGTGTTTATTTACATTTGGAATAAATTTTTTTGCATTTTGCCTCCTCCTCCTGTGTTTTAATCAACCACCATTCAAAGGAATTTCAGTGACTGAATGGATATTCCTCTGGGAATGCTGTTTTCCTTCTGGAAGGCAAAGGACAAGCTGATGTATCACAGATTGCATACTGTCTGAGCTGGCTTGTAACCACAGGAAGTATGCATATACTCAGTGCCAGGATAATTAGGGCACTTTTGAGAGCAGCGATCTTCATCAGTGAAGTGATCACAGACTTTTCCATGCCCTGTAGGATGGTGTGCAGACTTCCCCTATGACTGCATTGAGTCTGCTCACAGTACAGACAGTCAGTCCCACACCTATACAAACTGGTCCATTTCTGTCTAATCAGCAGCCAGCCTCCAATGAACTGCTGTGCACAGGAACTCTCTGCCTTTTCTACGGGGGGAATTGACTCCCTTCCATCTCCAAATGGAAGCCCATTAGCAGCAAGGGAGGGCTGTGCTGTTTTTTTTCTCTCATGGTAGCTGAGTTTATAAGTAGCTGAAGGGCTTTTTCTAAACTGCTTCCTGTCAAAGTAAACAACTTCACATTTTCCCATATTATTCATTTGCCAGATTTTTGCCCACTTGCTTACCCTATCTATATCAAGCTGCCAACTCCTTATGCCATCGTTACAATTTACTTCCCTGCCTGTCTTTGTGCTTCTAGGCTTATGGCCATTTTGTGCCAAGTCAAAGATTGGCAATTAAGCATGGCTAAAAGATGTTCAGCAATATTAATGCTGCCAAGTTGTCTTTCTCACAATATTGCATATTCAGCATTCCTATCAAACTTGGCCATGGTTGGCTCAAGTAACCATTTAATAGTTGAAAAGTAAAACAAAATATACAAGCTTGCAAACAATCAAATTGTTCTTTTTCTTCCCCTGAGGTTACCAGTCAGGACCTGTAATTATTTTTAAAAATGCTAATCAAATGGACTGATTAACGTCCTAATTTGCTCCTAAATCCCATCATAATTTTCAAATTGCTATCATATTGTGCGTAGTATTCTAAATGAGTCCAAAAAAGACATAGTTGGTTCTGCCTGAAATAATCCTGCCAGAAATAACTCCATGGAGGCCAGTTTCCAGTCACCAAGCCACCCTTTATTTACACATGCACTCTGACCAATGAGCTCAGAGTCAGTGCCTAGAGTAGTGAGCTTCTCTGTGACTCCTGTTTATATCTGTCAGCCAGGGCTCCCTGATTGGCCCAGGTTAATAACCAAATCCGGGATTTCATTCTGAATGAGATTCACCTGGTCCTTGTTCCAATCACTACACTGCCTATTCACCTTTAATCAAAATTTGAGGTTGTATGGGGGTAGTGTGGTGGGGCAGGTAGGACGGTGAAAGACAGACAAAGGGGTTTGTTGGTTTAATTATAGCTCACTTTAATCCACCTACTGGGCAACACGACAAACAGACTCCCTTAAGGCATGCGTCAGTCAAACATAAATATATCTCAGGCTTTCAAGGTTTATGGTAACACATTAAGATTATCATAAGGGAGCTGAGTGTTCGATAGTGTATAATGTTGACCTCTCCAACAGGAGTGTTTTGTAGCCAGTACCCACAAGAAGGTAAGCACGAGAGTAGGAAACATTTGAAAAAGTGCAGATTATAGTCATTTGGCAGTACAGAACTTGGGTATTGTTGAAAAAAGACATATTTTTGTCAAAACTGTTCATCTTGCACTCAACAGGACAATTCACAAGAATTACCAAAGTAAACACAAAGCAAGATTTATACTGTATGAGAGGAGAGAACTGATTGGCAAGTGGATTCTGGTTGATATGTTGCTCCAAATGACTGACAGTTAACTGACAAGATTTTTAAACAATCCGTTCCCTCTCACCATCCACCAAATTGAGTGCAGTTTTCTGGATACCTGGAGTTTAATGAAAATATTCCTCTCCAATTCTCCTTGTTCCCCAACCCTCCCATCCCCAATTATCCTGCCTGTGTTGCTGGGCTCCATTAAATTCCAGCCAATGTTTAATGGGAGAAGATGGCCCAGCAATAATGCTGATGGGCCAGTGATCCAGGGGCCCAAGCTAATACCCTGGGGATATAGATTCAAATCCTACCACAGCAGCTACTGAAATTTTTAACGAATAAATCTTGAATTGATAACACAACTACTTGACGATGAAACTATATATCATCGTAGAAATCCTTCAGTGTGGAAGCAGTCTGTTCAGCCCATCAAGTCCACTTTGACCACCTGAAGAGCATCTCACCCAGACCCACCCCTCAACCTTGTCCCTGCATTTAGCATGGCCAATCCACCTAACCTGCATATCTTTGCACTGTGGGAGAAAACCAGAGCACCCCCCCACACACACACACAAGGAGAATGTGCAAACTCCACACAGATCACCCAAGGGTGGAATCAAACCTGGACCCTGGTGCTGTGAGGCAGCAGTGTTAACCCTGAGCCACCAGGCCACCCTAGAGATGAGGTAAAGCTTCCTGAGCCAGACATGATTTGAACATACAACCTTCTGATTTACAGTTAGATGCACTACCATTGCACCACAAGCCCAGCTTGTTGAAAAAACCCATCTGCATCACTAATATCCTTTAGGGAGGTAAATCCACCATCCTTGTCTAAGCTAGGCATGACTCCAGGCCCAGAGCAATGTGGTTGATTCTTACTTGGTCTCTGAAAAGGCCTAGCCAGCTATTCATTTCAAAGACCATTGAGAATAGTCTTCAAGCTCTGGCCTTGGACAGTGATGCCTGTGTCTGACGAAAGATTAAATAACGGGTCTGTACCTTTCTCCAGAACAGTATCTGCAGTATTTTGTGTGGTTATTTTTTATATCTCTGCTCCTCTGATAGTTTACATTGGGATTTTTTCTTTTGTTTCATCTCCACGTTGAAAAGGGGCAAATGATGATGGAAGTTAACCTTCATGTTTTTTGATTCTGTAACACAGCGATCGAATTGCTTTCTTTTTCCAGGAGGACAAAACGAATACAGGAAACAGCCAGAAATGCAATGAATTTCTCCAAACTGAAAGTGACAGAACACAATCATTAAAATTGGTTAGTCGTCATTTGTTTGGCAGAGAAGGATATGTATATTATAGTACAATATGGGCATGTCTTCTAGTTTGCCTTGCCTGTAACTTGCACCATGGAAATGTGCTGGAACTCTCCTATTTCTCGCTTTTGCCTGTTGGTCATTAGGAATCTCTTTCTGCTACTCATTGATCATTGTTGGTGCTCTGCAAAATGAAATACCCAATCATCACCAAACATGAAATGGCTCTGTGTTGCATCAGGTCTATTCTGATCCTCAGCTTTGTTACATTTGAAGCTACCAGAGTAATTTATCGTGAAAGCTGATTGTAGAGGTGTCATTCAGTAACCATTGCTACTCCCCTTGCTCCTGGAATCCTATCAGTCTCATCTGCCCTTTCAGGTCATTGAGCAGTCACAACACATGTGGAGATTTTCTCTGGGTCAGGAAAATGTTTTGAAAGAGCACATTTATGGTGTTATTGCATGCAGAATAAATCTCTCCTGACATAAAGTCACATGTGAGAAATGGTAGTTTTTTTTGTCTTTTTTCCTTTTGCAGCATGTTTCCAATGGCTTGGGTCCAGAGACATCTCCTCACAGGCGGATGTATGGAGTGGTGAAGAGTGCAGATGCAAATAAGACCGAGGTGGTTGTGTATGAATGGTCAGTGAACCAGCTTAAAGAGGAAATGAACTACATTAAAGAGGTGAGATGGTCAGTGTTCACTGTCCCTTTTCAGTTTGCTTGACTGGGCATGTTCTTGATCAGTTTGTTGAATCCGAGAAAGTCTCAAATGGGACCTGAGTGAGAATGCACTTTGCAGCTTCACCCCAAACTGGATTCTTAGTTCTGTTTAGCTGCTGCAACCATGAGGTCAGTTCCACCGGCTTGTCACCCATCACAATAGTCACTGCTCTTCAAAAACACTTCATTACTCATAAAGCCCTTTACAATATCTTGTGTTCGGGAGAAGTGCTGAAGAGGTACAAGATCTTTTCTTCGAGGACACTCAGGTTTATAGGGACGAAATGAGTTAAACTCAGATATTATACATAGTAATCTGAACAAAAGAAAGAGCTTGCATTTATGTAACACCTCATCATCAGTTTTGTCCAAAACTTTCACATTTAATGAATTACTTTAAATTGCAGTCATTATAGCTATGTTATTGAACAACAACCATTTTGCACACAGCGATGAGGAAGATGGTCAGTTTGTTTGTTCTCGGTGTTGTTGTGGGATATTACAGGAGGTTTAATATTGTACTTACTGTTGATGTGGGTTATTAAAGGAGGTTTAATGACCTCTTCCCATTGGGCATGATGAGCCTCTCAAAGGGAAGATGTCAGTACACCTGGAAATGTGGGGTCTGGAACATGTTTGTGAATTGGTGGGAAGACATCCAATTGGGATGCCCACAAACCAGGTTGTAGGAATATATTGGACTAATGCCACAATCCATCTGGGAGGTATACTGATTCTCTGACCCAGGTACTCGCTGAGCGCAGAGCCATACCTTGGATTTATTGGAGAAAATACTGAGAGAAAATCATAGCTATAAAGCTGGTTACTGTGAAAACAGGATGATAGGCTCCAAGCTTAAGTGGTATCCTGTCATGTTTTAATTGTTTGTTTGCTTTCTGTTCAGGTGAGACATTCGTTGGAGAAAGTTAGACAACAAATGTTTGGTGAGTTTAATGGAATGAAGAAGCAATTACAAGAACTCTCAAATGAAGTGAAGGTAGGTCAGATCGCCCACCTGCTGCCCATATTTTTCACCATCTACATACATACATCTGTATGTCGTACAGAGTATTGATCAGTATAATCTCCAAACGAAAGACACCAGATTGATTATTGATTGTGTGATTACATGGAATGCGCAAATCAACAGCTCACTTGATTTCAATGGAAATACAAATCAAGAGATGTCCGTTTTTTTTTCCCTTTTGTGGGATGACAGTTTCCCTCTAAACAGCACTTATTGCCCATCCCTAACTGCCCTCTGGGTAATTAAGAGTCAACCAATTGCTTTGGGCAATGTGGGTCTGGAGTCACAAGTAGGCCAGACCAGGTAAGGATGGTAGTTTCCTTCCCTAAAGGGCATTAGTGAATCAGACTGTTAATTCCAGATTTTTTTTTATTGAGTTCAAATTCTACCATCTGCCATGGTCAGGATTTTACCCAGTTCCCCAGAACATTACACAGTCAGAATTTATCAATTCAATCCCAAATCCAGAAAAATCCAATTTGAGCTTTTTTTTGTGATTTTTTTTTTTCCCTATATATTTAAATAGATTTCCTAGTTAAGGAGAAATGCATTTTCTATTGCATCAATAATTTTGCAATAATGAATTGATCTTCATTTAAAGCCTTGTAATTGTCTACTCAGGTCTGTTCCATTACTGTAATGGCCTTTGCTAAGATATTGTTAATATTTTGAATATAAAATCTTTCACTCATACAAATATTGTTCTAAAGAGAATGTGCTTTTACTTGATGAATGCGAAAATGAATGTTGAAATGTATTTGTCAAGCTGGGGCAGGTGTAAAAGGTTTGCAGTTTATCTTAATTCACCTGGAATTTGGTGATTCCAAGTTTGGCTGTTCCACTGTGACAAAGTTAAACAAACAGTTGCGTTTGAATGTATGTGGGAGGGCATTTAATTGAGGGTTTACAGTATTTATCTTCTTTTTATTGATTTGAATTTTGAAATAAAGCTGACTCCTTTTTATATGAGATTCCACAGCTATTTTCCAATTACAATATAAATAAATTGTATATTATCTAGGTGTGCCCCAGGTTAGTAAAGAGGTGCCAGTCTAGTGGTTGTAGTAACTGATGAGCCAACATTCTCCACGTGAAATGTCCTATCATCATATCTGCCTCAAAGTTACGGAGACAGATCGGTTTTAATGTTACAGAGATAGTAGGAACTGCTGATGCTGGAGAATCTGAGATAACAAGGTGTAGAGCTGGATGAACACAGCAGGCCAAGCAGCACCAGAGGAGCAGGAAAGCTGAT